CCTTCTGCCTGTTACATACTTTTAACAAAACCATTATACCCTGATTTCACATTTTTAATGGGTTCAGGGTATAAAAACACGAAAATTTGTGAAAAAAGCTAATGTTTTCTTGCTTCGATTTGATTGATATTTAAATATATTTTTAACAACTTGTAATCATGGCACAATATGTATATACATATGTATATATATATATATATATATATATATATATACTGTGATGCTTAGCTCGATTTCACCTATGTTTTACCTAACGCTGAAATCGAGCTAAGCATCACAGTATTGACCTGAATACACATTTTATTCCACTTGCGCATTGGCAAAGAAAACAGTGCAAAAGTGGCGCAGTTCCTAAATTTCTTATTTCCTTCCGAATCCCTGGATACACACCTCTCAACCCGAAACTTTGTAGGGTGTGGATTATTTTTCCACTGAATTGGGTGAATATTCTTATATAAGTGCTCAATACTTTACATGTTCTTTGAACAGAATAACTCTAGTATAGGAACGACACTATTTTTGTTTAGTCGAAAAATATATGCATACATATGTATGTATGAAACCGAATCACAACCTCGGCAATCTTTAACACATAAGTTCTTGTACTACACACTATCAAATGAGTTGCATGCATTCTTTTATATTGCTTTATAAGCTCTGTTAAAAACTGCTTACGTTTCATTTACATAGAATCCAAAAGTTCACAGTAGGATATACTGAATTAAATATAAATCATTGAAAATTGAATTACTGAACTATTTAAATTTAATTAAGCTGCAATAAACAAAACTTCATTCTACTACGAGTTATCCCTACAAAATACGAAAATTTTCTCAGTAAATAAAAAAGCAGAAATAAAGCAAATTTTTCTTTTGGATATAGAAATATAGAAAATATAGAAACATAAATTCAAGCCTCTAACTCTAGCATTCATACATACGGGACAGGGCTAAATCGACGCAATTCTATGCCATACATGTTACATACTTTCATGAAAACCATTATACCCTGAATTCCCATTGAAAATTTATTCAGGGTATAAAAATATCCATTAATGTTCCATATTCATTTTTAAATACATATAGACATTTTTAAATATATATATAGAAGGTGTTGAATGTATCTAATGTAAAATGCTCACCGCAAAATTTACACAAATTTGTTATCCAGCCATTCGATTTAAACATCAACACGCTTCTTTTGTCCTCGGTTAGCATCTGTACAAATTTTGCAACCGATGAGTACCTGCAGTCAGAGCTCAGTCACATATATACATATGTACAAGATCTCAATAGAGTACCATCGCGCAGCTGCCCGAAGTTGGGCGAAGCAGCTGAGAACAGGGGTTGGGCTGCAGTCCAATCGGGGTCGAGGAAAAGTCGTCTTTGTTTCCATTGGCTGCGACGCACACTCGGATAAGCGCTGCGAAACTAGTTGTCTCGCTCGAACTTTATCCGCGACCAAATTGAAAATGAAAGATACGCGAGAGGTCGCTCCTCGCTGAAGTCGCGGCCCTCCGAGCATTTTAAACATGGAAGCTTTGCATAACTTTGCATAACATTAAGCCAAGGTCAATTGTAAATTCATACACATTGTAAACACTGAAAATAAAAAGCTGATTTGAGTCATCAGATATTTAAGTTAGCTGCATATTTATTTAGTTCTATGTACATATATGAATACATACAAATATTTTTATGTATACGTGATATCTCAAATGCAATTTCCCATTGCCAATATTGTTAATATATTAATTATTCGTAACAAAATTATTAATTATCATTAAGAAGAGAAATAAGTATAGAGTACTTCACACTCATGAATTATACCCTCAACAGTATAAACTTTGTGGGAATACCTCATTTCCATTTCCATTTATTCCATTGTTCTATTTATTAAAGCATAAAACATATTTAATGTCTTACTAGAGCCTGAATATAGGTTTACAGACGGCAGCAGCTGAATGCAACGCTCTTACCTGTTTGCTGACTTGGCTAATATTCAAATGTACTGCGAAAAAATCCTTTTTTTCTTCTTAAGAATAATCGTAAGTTGAGTTATATTGGAAAGAAGCTGTCAAGCAAGCTGTTAAATTATAAAATTATTAATATTACGACAATT